CCAGCAATGCAGCCGACTGCTCCGTCTCCATCTTTATGTTTGAAGGTGTTTCTTAAACGTTGGGGAAAAATTGGCATCCCTCCCTCAAAAAAGAGACACTGACTTTCTCCCAAAGCTTCCTCCTCCTGAGTCGCCCCCTGCTGGTCATCAGAAGGAATGCAGGCGTTCAGTCGGTCTGTGCTGGAGCCCCTGCCTGTTTGTAGTAAATGTGTGTGTTCTGCTTTCAGCCCGGTGTCAGCTGCCCGCTGATATCGGCAACCAGTGTAAGAAATACGCCACAGCCTGGTTCTTTGACACAAACGTCGGTGCATGCTCTCGGTTCTGGTATGGCGGCTGCGGCGGCAACGCCAACCGCTTTAGAACGGAATATGAATGTTTCCAGACATGTGGGAACCAGCGTAAGTCCAGACTGCACACAAACTGCCCGCTCCACGTCTGTGGACCCACTAACTTCTGCTATCAGCGCACCGCTAACAGGATCCTCTGCGTGTCGCTTCCTACTAAAGTCCTCTGTGGTCGCACTGATAACACGCCTTCTGTTACTGCTGTCCACGCTCAGACTGTCTGCACACGGACGTGCATACACATGTATGTACGTGGGGGACAAAGGTCACAGTAAAAGCGACGCTCTTCTTCTCACATGCCAGTACTTCCTGCTCAGTGTCAGAACACGCCGACCTGTGAGAAGCCCTCATCGCTGCTCGACTGCACAGTCATTGCCTCTCTGACTTTACTCTGTCGTCTCTCGCAGATCCCAATGTGGTGGAGAAGACTCCGCCTACCAGCTTTGTCTCTACAGGTAAGACAGACGAGCACACAGCTGTGTGAGCTCACACACGATGTTTGTGCCAATAGAGTTAAAAAAGGCAGCGAGAGGGAAGGAAAGAGGAGGAGCTACTTCCCGGTTGTTCTAACAAGGACGAGCGTGCATGTTGAGATGTTTCTAATATCCGTCTCCTTTTGTCCTCCAGATTCCTGTGTCCTCCCTCAGGACCAGGGCAGCTGCGACAACTACACGATGATGTGGTTCTTTGACGCCGCACAGAAGGAGTGCGCTCGCTTCTGGTACGGCGGCTGCGGCGGCAACAAGAACCGCTTCCTGACGCAGGAGGAGTGTCAGAGCCTGTGTGGGACGAAGATCAGATGAGGAGGACGAGAGCGTCACGGCTGAACACGCATAAGGAAACCTGCCGAGGCCACTCAATGAATTAGTCACAGCATTTACCCGCCCGCCCTCCCCCGCCGCCATCAGGGAAACAGCTCGAACGCTTTCAGTCATGTGCCGCCTGCTTTTTGTTCGTTTACACGCATGTTCGATTTAAAGAGGCCCAGAAAGGTCACAGGAACGATCGCCTAAAGTCTCCGTGCCAGCAGGTGTGACCTGTAACAGCTGACGGTCGCTGCTCCTCGCACTGGTTTGTCCTCGTTCACGTTAGGAAACAGAAAAAAGTCAGACATACAAATTCGGGACTTGCAGTTTGTACAGTTAGCCTCAGTCAAAGAGGCCACGCCCCCTGTAACGCTTTAAAACAGGCTGGAAAGGTTTAACGTGCGATTCTATGGCGACTCACTCGCTGCTGCCTCTGCTGGGCACAGGAGAAATTGCAGGTTGGTGCTCGTTCTCGGTGCTGAATCATAATCCAGCTCACAGGAAACGTGAACGTTACTGTGACCTTTCAGGGCCTCCGTAGTTTTCCCTCCAGAGCACATCCCGTTTCCCTCACAGACCCCGCCCACGCTCCTTTCCCTCCAGTCAGGTGCTACTTTTTATAAATCAGGTGGAGGCTGATGTGAGAACTTAAGACTTGAGTGAAGTTAACGTGTTGATGTGTAATTTTCCATGAACCTGATGATTAAACACAAAGTGAAGCGTGTACGTCATCGCTCCCACAGACGGGACCGTGATGACTTCCTGTAACTCTCAGCTGTCACACGTCAACGATGGTTTAAGAAAATAAAATGATCTCAAGTGTCCGTCTGACTTCCTCTTTGTGACCAATCAGGAAACAGCCACGCTCTCTGATCACGTGGTCTGTGTGTGCGTCCGTGTGTGTGTGTCTGTGTGTGTGTGTGTGTATCCGTGTGTGTGTGTCTGTGTGTGTGTGTGTGTATCCGTGTCCGTGTGTCTGTGTGCGTCCGTGTCCGTGTGTGTGTGTGTCTGTGTGCGTCCGTGTCCGTGTGCGTATCCGTGTGTGTGTGAGAGAGAAACTTTTTATTTAAAACTGTAAAAAAAAATGAAGACATTTAAATGCACCAACACACAGATTCTCGTCTTCATATCTTAGTCGGGACATGTAATTGACCCTGACCCTGACACTAAACACTGTGAGTCTAAATAACACCTTCAATGTGGCACTTTGGGCCCCACAAAGACGTCTAAACAGGTTCACGTGCACACAGAGTTTTCAGGTCTCGCTCAGTTTGCTCGTTTCACACATGATGGTTTTATTTTCACACACACAGATTCTGCTGGTTTGTGGAGCTCTGACAGTGTTCGATGCTTCTGAGCATCGTTCAGCTGAATCATCACAACGAGACAGGAAGTTTACCTCAGGTGACTAATCTGTGCTCCTGATGTACAGAGTCCTTTTGTTAATAAAACACTTTCAAATGAAGCAAGAAGAACATCACACTCAACAGCAGTTCCCGAGTTGTGGATGGGGACCCCTGGTGGGCTCTGCAGGAACAACGTGGAGCTCAGCTGGAGGCGTCGCTGACGCTCCGATTTAAAGAAGCTGAATTACACCTGCACATGGAAAACTGAACTAAAGATGAATCAAAACAAGACTACATGTCCCATAATGCAACTCAACAGATTTACATATCCCTAAATCATCAGCGCAGCTATCAATCGTGGTTCTGAAAATCAGGTTTCCTTCGTATCCAGGCAACAAGACTTCAGAGTGAGAAATGGCGTGTTCATCTGGCATGAGCGAGATCAGCTGCACACCTGCACTTCCTGTCACCTGACACTGACAGGACATGAAAAGCACAAACTAGTCGTCAGGGCTCAGAGTCTACAGCAGAGCATTTCACTTCCTGTTTGAACCACGTCTCGTGATGATGATGTAACCGTGTTCATGGGGAACAGGAGCGTGTGTCCATAAACACACCCCCGTGCGTGCGTGTGCTGTGATGTCATCAGGGGCCCTCATTTCCAGACTTTGACGATGCCGTCTCTGGACGAGGTGACAATGAAGCCCTGCGTGGTCTGGAAGGTGGCGATGTCCGTGATGATGTCGTGGTGACCTAAGGGGAGGGACTCCGGGCCGCGGCGGGGCGAGTCCTCCACCACGCCGCTCTTCTGTTTGCTGTGGATCTCCTGCAGAGACGGCAGCGTTCAAAGGTGAAAGCAGGAAGTGCGTGTGCGTGTGTGCATGTGTGCGTGTGCGCGTGCATACCTGTACGACCTCGGTCCCTTCGATGATCTTGCGGCTGTAGAGGACAGATGGGCAGTGCAGCGAGTCGTTGGCTCCGCCCGCCACAATGTACGACCTTTCCGGATACGCCAGGTCCCAGAACCTGAACGGAGGTCAGCAGAGGTCAAAGGTCGCTCAGAGAAACTTCCAGAAAAACTGTTAAACGAACAGAGCCGTGAGCTCGTCCTGCTGCCATGTTTGATGTTCTGTGGGTCACAGAGCGGCGCTTACACCTGAGCGTCAGCTGACCCGATGACCCAGCGGTGTCAGCTGCACAGCTACGACATCATCTCTCCGTGACTACAACTTCCTGCCAGGACCGAGCTTTGTAACTGTGGAGGGTGAAATACGACCCAGCCAGAACCAGAACTTCCTGTTGAGCTTCACTGAGTGCGTCTGGCTAATCTTAGCTAATGTTAGCTAATGTTGGCTAATCTTAGCTAATCTTAGCTAATGTTAGCTTTCCTGCTAACAGGTGAACGATGTGCTACCAGCTACAGCGAGCTAACCTCAGCTAACCAGTCTGTGTGAGCCGGGTGCCGCTCGCTCGGCGACATCGGTGATCCGTGGACTCCACCTGTGAGCTGACGATGCAGAGAACTGTGAGGTGGAGTGTTTGTGTGGATGTTTCTCTGTGTTTGTGTGGATGTTTCTCTGTGGGCTCACCTGATCCTCATGTCAGAGCCGGCTGTGAGCAGCAGAGGGTTCCCGTCAGCAGGACTGCAGTAGATCCCGTTAATGCTGTGTGGGGACGGCTGCAGACACACAAACACACACCTCAGTGACTCACACACACACACACACACACACACACACACACCTCAGACACTCACCTGCATCTCAGAGAGTGGGGGTGCCGAGCTCGCCCACAGGGTGAATTTGCGGTCTCCGGTCTCCATGTCCCACATGGACACTTCATTGTTGCCCTGCACAGCTGCAGACACACACACACGCACACACACACACACACACAC